CATGTGCTTTATGTAGTGGCTGCTGTATGTGTCGATCAGTGACAGGATGCCAGCCATTGCCTCTGGTCATTCACTAAAGCTAGGGCAATCACCTGCTGCAGCTCTGTGGAGCATAATCTTAAAGAATGAGAAATGGATTGGGTATGAGGAGATAGTCTTTTAGATAGTCAAGCTGCTAGTTTATTGCTTTACAAGTTAAAACCTGCACTGCGAATACTGCTGAACCCAAAGGTGGTAGGTGGATCTGATCTCACAGGGAGGGTTGAATCAGTTTACTGCTGCTCCTGCTGCAGCTTTCTGAGTTGTGCAAGAGACATTTAATGACTGGATCATCTTCCCAACAGATGATTGGCACCAAGGATGCTCCTGTACAACCCAGAGCATTGTGGAAAGAATGGCTATAAAATCACCACTATGGATGTAAATCTTTGTAGGTTTCATTATCACAGGCAAGAATGAGTAATTTTTATCATGAGTTTCACACTAAACAATTACAGCAATATCATTCCATTATAACTGCCATGGTTCCATTCTATGAGTTTGTAATTTGGTGAGACCCTAAAGGTTTCTGAATTCTCAAAGTCCTCTCCTAAACCTCAAATACCAAGATTCCATAGGATGTCACCATGACAGTTAAAGTGGAATCATAGAGCTATAATTATATTGTGTTTTAATTTGCTACAAGAAAGTCCTTAGGCACTGTACAGTTTTAAGAACTGTATGCAGATTGAGACTTATTAGATAAAAAAAAAACCATGATGAAATGCTCAGGAATTGTTCTTTTCTGCACAGAAAATGCTGTGTTGTTGTTGTTTTTTTCTGTGCTAAAGTAAAAACACAAAGAATCATAGAGTCACTGAATCACAGGGTTGTCCAAATCCCTGCTTAATGCAGGATCTCCAGCTAAAGTATCCTCAGCAGGTAGTTTTCCAGTCTCCTTTTGAAGATGCCCAAGATGGTATCAATGATTGGCCCTTGGTATGGAGGGATAAATCTGTTATGTCTCATTTGTATGGAGTGAAAACAAGGTACCAATGATCTGCCCTTGGTACAAAGGGATGAATCACTTCTTCTGTTTCTTCTGTATGGAGAGAAAGAAAGTATTGAATGATCAGACCTCTGTGTGGAGAGAGTGATTTGTTGCATCTCCTCTGTATAGAGCAAGAGGCTTGTACCAAGGATAGACCTTGGTACAAACAGGTGAATAATCTCTTCTGTGTGGAGAGAAAGTGTCAAATGTCCAGACTTCAGTATGGAGAGAGTGACAAGGGCAGACCTTGGTACAGAGAGATGAACCACTTCTTCTGTCTCCTCTCTATGGAGAAAAAGAAAGTACTGAATGATCAGGCCTCAGTATCAAGAGCCTTGGTACAGACGGATGAATCACATCTCCTCTGTATGGGGTGAGAGGGATAGTACTAACAATAGCCCCTTGATATGGAGGGATCAGTCACTTCCTCTGTGTCCTCTGTATGGAAAGAGAAGAAGTTATTGAACCACTGGCCCTCAGTGCGATCAACTTGTTACGCTTCCTCTATATGTAGTGAGACGTTGGTACCGATAATCTGCCCTCAGTCTAGAGGGATCAACTATCTGCCCTTCATATAGGGGAAACCTCTTCTGTTTCCACTGTATGGAGTGAGAAGATAGTACTGAAAATCAGCCCTCCATATGGAATGATCAGCCCTAGGTATAGAGAGATGAACCACACTGACTGTTTTCTCTATGTGGAGAAGCTGTTACCAACAATCAGCCCTTGATATAGCTGGACAGTCCTGTTATCCATCTGTGAAGACTACTTTTTCTTACTCTTATGTGGCAGCCAAATTAGTTTTATTATCCCACCACTGTCACTAAATTTGTGACGGAAACCCTCAGACACCCAACTATTTTACTCTTGTGGCAGCCCCCATAGGTTTTGTTATCCCACCGCTGCCACCAAATTTAGGATGCTTTTTCTTATTGTTTACCTCACTTAAGCCACTTTACTTTTCTTGTGACTTCCAATCTATTTGTGAAACTGCTTCACTCTTGTATAAATGTCAGAAGTGTACTTTAACTATGCTGTAAAATACTTTGACTATTAGTAGCATGGATATTCAATCAAGCTGCAGACAAGCTTTCAATTTTTACTAAAACAATAACAGAACTTTATTTAGAATAATAGATATTTAGTTACAGACATTTGTTATTTCATATATTTGTAAGTTTCACTTGAGAGTTTTACTTTCTTAGTTTCAACTTTGTTACAGTGACAGACACAGAGACCACGAAGAAGAACCAGAAGTTTCTATTCCAATGTATACCACATAATAACAGCATATACCCCTTTGCTGTTCCTTGATTGGCTCTTGAAGTTGCCAGGATTCTACCCTTTTTTCTCAGCCCAGCTAATTTGCCCTCAGGGATGTCACCAGGGAGATGTGTCTCCTGGTGTGTTTGTGAGAAAGGACTGCCTTCTGGTGTGCACTTTCATAGGTAGACTGGGACTTCCACAGACTGAAGATCTTGGGAAGGACCTGTCCAACTCCCCAAAAGTATCAAGGAAACCAGTTAGAATGCTTTTGACACAGTGAATGTCACAGTGAATGCTTTTGACATGTCACTCCTGTCACTGATTGGGACCCGGACTCTTTTAGGAGTTGTGAACAAGGTGACTAGACCAGAACAGCCTGGGACATGGCCAGTCCCTTCAGGTGTCCTGGTCCACCTCCCTGTTGGCAGCAAAGAGGCCAGCCTCTCTTCCTCAGCACCATGATTGACTACTAATTTTGGACTATTGGCCCAGCAGCTCTGAGCTGTGGAATGGCCCAAATGTCTAAGCTTTACCCAGACCTTCCTCTCACACTGCTGAATTACCTACCAGCATTTCAGACCCCATTGGGGGCACCCAAAGAGTAAGCATAAGCATACCTCTGTGTGTCTCCTCATGGGCTCTGCAGTCAGCCTTCTCTCCAGGGACATGCAAACTCCTGGAGGCCTTTCCCTTCACCAAAGGGGGTGCCTTGACCCCCTTTGGGACTTGTGAACATGGCAAGTAGAATGGACTAGCCTGCAACAGCCCCTTTGGGTGCCCCAGTCTATCACTCATTGGTAACAAGGAGACTGGCTTTTTTCGTCCACAGTAGCCCAATCTACTCCTCAGGGAGTATTGACATGGCAGGGCTGTGTGCCAGGCAGTCTGGGGGTGACAACATGAGTTAACTACAGTGGGGTGACACCAAGCCTAGTGACACTGCTGTCTGCTCCCAACCAATGCTGAATGGGGTCATCATGACCTAGAGTGTTGTGCATCATTGATGTGCCTTGTTGTATCTGTGGGTCGTTTTAGGTAGTTCTGTGAAAAGTCCATAAATGACTCATGTCTTGTTCTTCCTCATTTCTCTCATCCATCAGTTCTCCACTAGCCTACATTCTCTACCTAACATAGACAGTGGAGCACCTGTGCAGCTATAGCCACATAAATCATTTCCTAAAGGTAAAGGCAATTCATTCATTCTTCATAAAACATTCCCCTTGGCTCCATACTACACACGTAGATACATTTAGCAAGCTGAGCTGTGCAGGGAAATCTCTTGGAACTCACCAGAGGCTTCCTTGCTACCTGGCACTTTTTTTAAAATGCAAGAGCATGCTAATTTATGATCTGTTTAACTAAGTTGAAGTATTAATTAAATAAAGCAAGAGGCTGATTAGGACTCAGAGAGCAGGGGAAAATGGGGAAAAATCCAACAGCTTTGATACAAAATTGCAAAGCAAACACTTTGGTTGTAACCACTGGAGGTTTCCCTCAGGTCTTCTATCAAAGCAGAAAGTAGGGAAGGCAAAAATGAGATATGATATAGCCAACAGATGTGTGCTGTTAAAATATGCATCTGCCAGCCGAGCAGTTTAAGGAGCCAGAGGGCTACCTTGTAGATCTTGCTGCACTCATGGGAACATGAGTGAATTCCAGACCCCGCTAGGCAAGCTGGGGGTTGTAGACATGTTAGTTAGGATTGAGTTTCCAGACCTCAGATGCAGCCAGGCAAATGGAAACTTTGAAATAGCAGTTGCATTGCCATGAGGGAAAAAAAATGAGCATGGAGCATGGGGGTGTGTGTGTGTGAAGGAAAAGGAGCTGCTGTTCCTCTGAAAACAGAGCTGACAAGAGGAACACCAGTTCAATGGCAGAGTGCATATTTGGATGCAGAAAGTCACTGGTCAAATCAGGTATGAGGTGATGGGAAAATACTTTT